GGCCGGTGTTCCTCAGGGGGTGACCACGCAGGTCTCCTCCAGGCCAGGGATCGCTCACCAGTCTCCTTTCTACAAGCTGCCCCCCAACCCGCAGTCATGGTAGCGTGGTTCTGGGGCCCCCAGGCCAGGGCCCACTGCTAGAATGCAGGTGGCCGATCAGGGTGGGCAGAGAGCGAATGGCACGATTGCTGGTTGACACTGGTCAGGATGTCACGGCCTCGGAGACCAGCAGGAAGCTCTGGGTCAAACTTCAAATGACCGAGAGACAGTCCACCCTCTCCAGGGCCTGACGGGTCTCAGAGAACAGGTTTGGGAAGGTGCCCTAGGAGCAATGGTCACTGCTGATGAGCCTTAAGAAGAAAGCTGACATCGCCAGGTATTCTTCTTCTTTTTTTTTGATTGATTTGAGAGAGTAAGAGAAACATCGACTTGTTGTTTCACTTATTTGTGCATTCATTGGTTGCATCCTGTATATGCCCTGACGGAGAATTGAACCCACAACCTTGGCCTATGGGGACGGCGCTCTAACCAACTGAGCTACCCGAGCAGGGCTCCCAGGTGTTCATTTTTATTTTTTTATTTTTTATATTTTGTATTGATTTTGGAGAGGAAGGGAGAGGGAGGGAGAGAGAGAAACATCAATGATGAGAGAATCATTGACCAGCTGCCTCCTGCACACACCACACTGGGGGTCAAGCCCGCAACCCAGGTATGTGCCCTGACGGGTAATCGAACCTTGACTTTCTGGTTCAGAGGTTGACGCTCATCCACTGAGCCACACCGGCCGGGCTCCGAGCGTTCATTTTTAAAAGATCGTTGGAAAAACATTAAAAACAATGAGAAAAACTGCTCACTACAAGGGGAAGGGACTGGGTCTTTGGCGGCGATGAAGGTGAGAGACAGGCAGGTGTCTGCAGTTCCAGGCGGACATTTTGGACAAACTGTCTGAACCACGCTGGTCCCCCCCTCCCAGCGGCCCTCCCGTGAACCAGGAAGGGCACCCCAGCTTCCTCCTGGGAAACACCGTAATCTGAAGCCGGGCACCAAACGTCACAGGTGGGCGATTCCATTCCGGGGAAATGTCCAGAGAACGCAAACCCCTAGGCTGCCAGCAGACGGTGGTTGTGGGGGGCTGGGGTGGCGGCGTGGGGAGCGGCTGCTTACTGGGTACAGGGTTTCCCTTTGGAACTGGAGAGAGGTGCGTGCCCAGCTGTCCCTCCAAATCCACAGGGGATCGGTTCCAGGACCCCCTGCGGGTACCAAAATCCATGGATGCTCAAGTCCCTTATGCAAAATGATGCAGTATTTGCATATAACCTACACACAGCCTCCCATCTACTTTATTTCGTTTATTTTATAGGTATCTATATATCTATATATAGATATTATTGATTTCAGGGAGGAAGCGAGAGAGTGCTAGAAACATCAATGATGAGAGAGAACCATGGATCGGCTGCCTCCTGCACACCCCCTACTAGGGACTCGAGCCCACAACCTGGGCATGTGCTCTTGACCGGGAATCAAACCCAGACCTCCTGGTTCATAGGTCGACGCTCAACCACTGAGCCACACCGTCTGAGCCTGTCTCCTTTAAATCACATCTCGATTACCCATAATGCCCAATACAATGGAAGTGTGTGAAAGTAGCTGTTATGCTGTGTTGTTCAGGGAATAATGACGAGAAAGGCCTGTATGTGTCTGCGCAGATGCAACCACAGCGCACGTCAGCAGCCACGTAACTTCCCCCAAACCTTCTCACCCTGCGGCTGGTTGAATCCACGGATGTGGAACCTGGGGATACAGAGGGCCAACTGCACAAAATGCCACCGGACTGTCCGCTAAAATGGTTAATTTTAACGTTACGTGAAATTCACCTCGATTTTTAAAGCCCTCCCTAATGAGCCCGTGGCACCGAGCACATCAGCATATGAAGAGGATTAAGCGCCCTCCTGGAGCTGAGCTCCACTGAGCACACTGGTCCCACCGCTGCTGGGAGCCACCATGTCCTCACAATCCTGGGGCCACTCTGTCCTCAGCCCTACATCCAATCAATCCCCCGCCCCAGGACGGCATCTCCCCCCTCTCCCCCCATTCTGCTGTGCCCAGAATGCTCACTGGGTCAAAACCTGGCTATTTATAGTGAAAAGGTGCTAAGCAAACACTACAGGATATAGCATCCACCACAGGGAGGCCCAGGGGCCCAGGGACCCCGCTGCAGGGGCCCGGGCAGGAAGGGGGGACACTTGACAGGAAAGAGTAATCACCCTGAGGCCCTGAGCCATTACCCTGAGGAGTCAGGTCAGAGCTCACCCCCCACAGGTCCATCCCCTGTGTCCAGCCCCTCCCCACACAGGTCCATCCCCTGCGCCCAGCCCCTCCCCCTACAGGTCCA